TCCCATTCGTCGACGGCGACGAAGCCTTCCCATCCGTCAAAGGTTAGGTGCGTTTCATCTTCTGTCCAGTCCCAGACGCCGACATGGTGCGCGATGCTGCCTGTGCGGTTCGAGTACCGTAATTCATACGTCTCTTTATCACAGTAAACCCAGTTCAACATTGGTGGATCATCGCTGATGGTAGTCACCAACCCTCTTTCGGGTGGACTCCTATCTTCATCTGGATACGCAATATAGAAGCCGGCGAAAGGATGCATCGGTTCTTTCCCTTCTCCATCATAGCCTTCCGGCCACTGAGGTTTATTGTCCTCATCTCTCGGTACTACCCAGACTTTATCATGTCGCACGACTAGGATACCATGATCCACCTCTTCTTGGGCAATGGGATCTGGATCGGCGCAACTGACAAGGCAGTTGAACTTCCACATGCGCGACTCGTTGGCTGCTTCTTCGTTTTGTTTCTTTTGGTGCTCCACGCCTTGGGCGACGCCTGTTACTACGGGGATGGCGACGACACAGCCGCCAAGGAAGATGCTTAGTGGAAGCGCCATTATGATATTTTGAGGAGGATTGAAGCCGGTAAAAAGGGTCTTAAGAAGGCGACATGCAGGTTCACTTCGATGGGTGGAAGTGGGATGCGGCTAGGCCCCGCTACGTCATTTTCGACAGGGATGTTCTTCTCAAGCGAGTCTAGCCTCTACCCTTGAGCCCAATCCACTCACACGTATACACGATACTAATTGGCACCTTGGAGACTTAGCATGAGATCAGTCTTTTGCGAGTACTCTCTTGGGATTTGCCGTTCAGTACATCATCATTTCGGTCGAGGAGCGAAACGCAAGCCAGAGGCAGCGCGGTTTGATTTGAATGGTGTGTAAGCTCAAACCCCAATCTTGAAAGCGAGGACATCAGTCTCTGTCTTTGTACGTGTATTTTCTGCATTCCAAATCACCCAAAAGATTAGAATATATATAGAAACGTGGGACTTGTGACTTTACAGCGAAGAGGATAACCATTCCGATCAGTTCGGCCGTCTCATGCGACTATCGCTCTCCTGATTTAACTTTTGTATCCAGAAAAGCAACAAGCGCAATAAGCAAAGTTCCCGCCGTAATAATATAGCTTCCAATCGTAAATCCCGTCTGAGTACTTGCTTGGGCATCAACATTAAAGTATAGCTTTGCTATAGCCGACCAGGTAATTGATGCACCGAGGCTCAGTGCCACAGGCAAGAGAACCATCAGACTCGTTACGTACGGGTCCCAACTCCTTACAATATTGAGTGCATGCGTATGCTGGCCAACTGCTGTCAAAACATTCTCCGCAATAAGTCTGTTTGTGATGGCCAACCCCTTCAAACTCGAAGGATCTCTGAAGTAATGGATCTGCCGACTGTACGTTCCATGACGACCTAGTCCTAAGGGAGGGCCCACGCAATCGCCTACGGTAGAGTCTTGTAGCTAGTATTTTTTGGATAATGTCAGTGAGAACTGTACAAAAAGACGCGACTAAGACGTTCGCGGAGCAGAGCACTAGGTGCACTTACCTCAACGATATCAATTCTCTGGCTGGATTTTGCACCAAATAGCTCGAATATACCGCCACTTGAATGCGTGAGATTGTAAAAGATGCGCAAGTGCTCTAGTATGTCTTTATCCTCCGCTGTGCTCGAGCACGGGACAAGAACCCTTTCCCCGTTATCTATAAAGAGTATAATCTCTCTGTCAAACTCTACTTGTATACTCTATGCTTCGCGGTAGTCATTCATGAAATCTGCTTGGTTTTCTGCGCAGAAAAAGTAGAGGTACCAGAAGAATGACCATCCAGACGTCCCATCTTTGCATAGGAGGTTAATCCAAGTACGCTAGACGATTGGAAGGGTTAGTTGATAGAATTCCAACGTTTGATAAATGGAAATGTACGTACAGAGATGGTGTTACGAAAAGGGCTGTTGTCGTAAAAGTCTTTGATGTCGAAGTCTTGATGGCGGACGAAAGAAGAGACGCCCCAGATAATGCGCCATACAAAATAGAACGGACTTATTCGAGTGATAGCAATTACGAATTGGTGAATTCCACGTATGTAAAGCATGAATCGCCATCCTGTTCTGTGGAAGATGTTTTTGACCCTGATGGGTTTGCCAGCCTGGTGATGGTGGATGAGGGCTTCACAGACAACGACCATTGTGAAAAGGAGATATCAAAGTATATAGTTCTGCCTAAAACGAGGATCAGTTGGCAGTAAAATTTATACTAAGAATCGAGGATAGGAACTGCATGGCCGAACATATGGTATAGCGGAATGTCGGGTGTGGTACGGGTTGGGCGTTCAGCTGAGCCGTAGCGCGTCTATTTTGAAGACAGATGCGGCTGAGTGACTTTCCAATATGCGGCGTAGAGCAAAGGCGCTTTAAAGTTTGAGAAGTTTAGCTGATAATGTGAAGAATGGTATGTCAGCTGCTTGATATTTTGTTTTGGGTAAGTCCCGATGGGGTACAAAAACGGCGTCCGCTGAGAGACCACACAGCTGAAGGATGGACTTCCAAGCACACAACCTTGAACTCGTTCGATAAAAATGAAGCCACTATTCTGTAATTATACTCGGGAGCAGCCACATTCGTCGACCCATCTACTCCCTATCAACATCTTTACATAGCACAATGTATCTCATATGCCCCATCTTCAGCACCATGATCGTTTCGGATCATCGTATGCGGGATAGCGATGAGTCCGACACTCAACGTACTCATTACAACTACATTAAATTTTTAAATTTCAAGACGCGTCATTGGCTCATAATGTCGCGTTCTGTGGTTGTGTTTTAGATGAACTATGGTACACTTAGTACTCTCACGTGAGCAAAAAAATTGGAGGTTTGCAGAAGCCACACTCCAAAGTCCAGCGACTTGGGTTGATTCTTCCTACCATTCCCAGACACACCCTCATAGCGCCGCACTACTCTCCAGGGTGCCGCACTGACCCAACAAACGGTATAGCCAAGGCTGAGGCCGCCAAATTATTTACGAAGTGGTGGGACACCCTTACCAACCAGGACGTCACCATCTTCTCTGATGGATCAGAACAGCGCACTGACGGCGAACGCTTTGTCACCTACGGCTACGCGATATACCAGGCCCAGACTCAGATTGCCATAGGGAGGGGATCGCTTAATCCCCAATCCCATGTATTCGATGCCGAAGCAGTGGGTGCTTGGAGAGGTCTCCAGCACGCTATCAGACTAGCCCCCCATGGCCACCGCAGGCTATGGATGTGTATTGACTCAACGTCAGTTATCTGGGGTATACGGGGCAACGCCCCCACATCGTCGCAATGGGCATTCCTTGAGTGCCAGGCAGCAATGGCAGTCTTCAACATACAAGTACGCTGGTC